GACAGTGTCAAATGCCTTGCACAAGTCCATGCTGTTTCCTTCTCTGTTAGTTGGTGGCAAGTCTAATGCTTTTTGGGGGTTCCAAAAGTGGAGACTATACCAACCGAGGAATCCATTTCCTTATTTTTCCATCCAAACACAAACCTTGTTTTCACAGCTGTAAACCAAGGAATTATGATACTATTGTTTCTGAAAGAGGTGCATATGGACAAATCAGAATACAATTATTTAAGAGGTGTGAGCAATTTCAGTTTCACTATTTCATTTTTTCTCTTTTATTTCTGGCAGTGCTCTATAATTGCCCTTCCCTTGTCCACCAATGCTGTAACCCCATCATAAAAGGCCACCAAGTTTGTCAGGCACGATTTGCCCCTAGTGAAGCCGTGTTGGCTGTCACCAGTCACCTCCTTATTTTCCATGTGCCTGAGCATAGTCTCCAGGAGGGTCTGCTCCATAATCTTGCCAGGCATGGAGGTGAGACGTGTATCAGAGAATGTCCAGGTCATAGTCCTGGACGACATATAACCAGTAATGCAGTGGGTTTTCCTTCTGCCACTCTCATTTAATCACTTGCCTCCTGCTCCAGGGTACCGATCTCTGCTAGTTGAGAAGAACCATGTTTTTAATTTTTTTTCTGCTTTTGGACTGTAGTGCATTTCTTTCACTTACCTTCATGCTGTATACATGGGCAAATTAGGATCTTCTCATTCAGATTGAGACAACCCATCTTTTTGCTCTGAAGTCCCCTCAGTTCCAAGTGAGGGAGGACTTGCTAGAATTAGCCAGTGCTATTCTTTATTTCTTCCAGCAAGTTTGAAATTTCCCTCCCTTTTGGTGAAAGGAGACGTATTATCTGAGTCTGTACTACAAAGGAAAGCGAGTGGCAGGAGCTGATACTGCTATACCCTGAAAGGCAATTCATTGTGAGATCTGGTGTCTGAAAGCCAGGATAACGGCCCCTGCTTTGTATTCTGCACCGACACGTGTAGTGCTGAGGGGCCATCTATAAAAAGCCACGTACAAAGATGATCTGTGGTTATTGCCTTCTATAGGGAGGTGGGAAGAATGGCATCAAAATTCTCAGTGAGTTAGTGTCAAGGTAAGGCGCAGAACCATGTCTCTTCTGATCCCATTTCTACTTTACATTTGGACTTCACAGTGTTGTCTGGGGTTTCATCTTATGTGGGATGTAACACTGTGGCTCTGGTAAGTTCCTGGGAATGTGGGGCTTAAGTAGCAGGCATCTGGAGTCTAGGCTGTGAGATGTCTTGTGTGTCTTTGGCAGAGCATGCTCTAACTCTTGTAGTTTTTTCCTGGCCCAGGAACTACAAGGAAGTGTAATGTTTGGGGCAATTGAAGGTGGAGATATCTTGGAAGAGAGGCTCAGATCAGCCAGGGAGACTGCCAAGCGACCTGTGGGTGGCTTTCTGCTAGATGGCTTCCAGGGATGTGCCATGGCCAAGGAGACCAAGTTGAAATTGATAGCTTCTGTCACAGCAGAGCTGCCAGAGGATAAACCAAGGTAAGTTGTGTGGGCAACATCCCAAGAAGTCCATCTGTCTTATTATGAGGAGTGTCTACGGGCTGCTGTGCAATATGAGTGTAGGAAATAATAGCTGTATTGCACAGCTATGTATGTGTGCCAAGCTGCATAAATTCTACCATTGTCAGGCTGCAGTCTTCAAGCTTTGTTTTCATTTTTAGCTGCAACTCGCACCAAGCTGTGCTCACACTGTGGATTTGAGTATTCCCCACATTTGGAGAATAATCAAGATTTTAATTCAAGTTGTCTTTACATTTTTTAGGGAGAATTACAGGTAGGATATATTTGGGCTGCTTGCATTTGGCCTCTGGGGCCGTGGTTTACTTGAGGTTCAGCTCAAACAAGAACGTTATTATCAACCTATTTTACAGGGACCTCTTCTCAGACAAACTGTCATGTTTGCAGTTCTCTGCAGTCTGAACTAGAGGAGACCAGGGAGGGGTGCTGACAGAACCAGCCAGTGCTTACATGATCTTATGGCAGCCAGCTCTGACCTCGTACCTGAGGCACTGAGCCTGGGAACTACCAGAGCTGGGACAGCCTGGCCCAAAACTGTTGATTCTCTGCTTGGACTGGCATAGTGTGGGGATTGTCGTGTTTTCCAAGTTGTTGGCTATGCCCATCTGATCCATGCCAGAGACTGGGCAGGAGTAGCAGCATTCTTACTCTTATAAATGACTAACAGTAACTAAAGACTTCCAGAAAATGTATGCTAATGTCTGTTAGTGGTTCAGAACTGGAGGGGTTCCTTAGCATTGGGTTGAGCTTGCTGGCTTTTGCATGGGTCGCTCTTACAGGAGCAGCTGCAACAGAGGTAGTATGGGTACTTTTTTCATTGTTTCCTGATGAGAGTGACTCAGGCCCCATTACGGGTCTTCCTGTAGCTGTGCTGCCCTCTGCTAGCTGAGCATTGCTCTAACCTAATGGTGTTCAAAAAGAAATTAAATGAGAAAGCATGTGTCTGGTGTTGCAGCTTGTTCATGCTTAGCGGTGCCCGGGGTTTGAATTTTCCTGACAATTAGAAGGCTTGCTGTGTTGTTGCCATCCTGTCTGGTTGAGCTACTTAAAAAGATCCCCTGGGAGCATTAGAGTCCAATCTGCTCAGCTAACCTTAGTGGCTACCAGTGCATCTGCCTCATCTATCAAGTAGTTTGCTTGTTTGGTTAAGACAAGTGTTTCTGACCTCTTTGTAGGAAGAAAGCTGGTTAGCCTGAGGGGGTCTTGTAAGTACCTCAAGTGAATTTCAGACAGTCCTGCTTTCCTGACTCACCCTTGCCATTCTGGCTGGAGAAGTTGTTTTGCAGCTGTGTTCTGCCCCAATATGAAATTGTCTAGAAGACAAACACTTTCTGTGCTTCACCCAAGAAGCGACTGCTTTTTGTGTGATGGTGAAATGATCTTACAAATGTACTCTTTCAGAGTCCTTTCGTGTACCTAAAGATGCCAAAATCTCTTGGTAAAATTTATTTTCCTTTTCAATAGCACCAGAACCGTTGCAAGAACAAATCTTTGCCCTTACCTGCGCTAAGTTTTAGCAAGGGTTTTGATCATATATGCAGAGCTACTTTTTTACCTCTTAAGTATCATTTTCTCCCTGCCATGAGAGTCTGAAACATAAGACACTCATGCTGTAAATTTCTCCCATCCTCATTCCATGCTCATCAGTTTAATTGCAGTACTTAGAAAAGTGACTAAAAATGGCACCTTGTGACTTCATTTATCAGCCCCTGTGTATTTTCCTAATTATCAGTTTAGATCATTGCCCTACATTAGCTTCTACTGCTGTCAGCCCAGCCATGCACCTGCAGGAGAGCAGGCACTGCTCTATTCTCTTCTGCTTCACCCACCCTCAGGGAAGCTGCCAGCTAAATTTGGCTAACAGCAGGATCTCTATTACCATTGATGGCAATCCAGCTGGGCTCTCCCTGGCTCTTAATGCCATGTCCCAGGAGATGTTACAGCCCAGGTTTTTGGGTAAATTATTTGAGCAGGTAGAGTGTAAAGAGGAGGGCAGATTAAAGCAAGGAACTTTTCTGAAATTTCCAATGCCATTTCTTATTAGTGCATTCTCCTCCAGGCAGTTCTCCCAATGCTATATGATGTGTCTGTCACCTGAAGGACTTGTATCTTTGACCAGCCCTCTGCTGCTGTCTCTGCTGCTCTTGATCAAGTGCTTTTAGACTGTCTCCTAAACAGTTACCAAGCAAAGGGGTCCATGTGTCCGGAAACTGGTAGTTCCATGGAGCACAAATATGACTAAAGAAAATATCTGTTCTATGGCATAGATGTTGTTGAATTTTGAATCTAAGTGTATTTATGTGTGTGTGAAAAAAATCAAATCACTTCAAACATAATGAACAGAATGAGGTTTTTCCGCAGTAAATGAGGGATTATTGCTGCCTTCCAAACAGCAGATAAAGAAAAGCCGGTCATGTACTGGATAGGTTGGAGGGGGGGAAATGGAAGCACACAGGATTCTGAGTGATGACTGTTGTACCCACTTGCCTTCTGGTTAGCAGTTGCAGGGATAAACCACATGTGCTGCATATGTCTTTTCCTTGAGGTACCTGCTTGCTTCTACTCAGAATATTCTAGAATTGTCATCTTGTGTGTCTCTTACAGAATCATCCATGGTGTAGGCAAACCAGATGAGGTGCTTGAATGCATTGAAAGGGGAGTGGACATTTTTGAGAGCTTTTTTCCTTTCCAAGTGACAGAGCGAGGCTGTGCCTTGGTTTTCAGTTATGACTGCCATCTAGATCCTGAAGCAGCAGGTAGGCTTCTTGATGGTCATTATAATTTTTATTTTATCAGCCAGTATTGTGGCAAGCATAATTAATGCTTTGGAGGAATCTGTATTTGAGGGGTTTGTTCCTGAAATAGGTGCAGTAACCACTGGAAGAACTGGGATTCCACTGTCAAGTGTTACTTTTGAAGGTGGGGTATTTTGGTGTGAAACCTGTTGAGGCAAACTTGAGGCCTCAACCTAGGATCTGAATGTCTGATTAGCCAAAATATGCTCAGGTATTTCATAAGCACTTACTGAATAGAGGGGTTTTTGTTCCACACCATTGGCAAATTTTCTGTTACCAATAGCAGTGAAGGCTGGACCTGTTAAGTGGAGATCTAAGATACTTGATCTCTAGAATTAACTGAATATGTGTCTGTTTGAATAATATATTTTTTAAGTTCCTTCTTTCTAGCTCACAAAAGTTAAGGTTCCCATTTCTTTGGGCAGTTTTTCTCTCTGTCCTTGCATTCATCAGTTCATATCAAAACAAAAAGGAAATGTTCATAACTCATTACCTCATTATGCTGTGAGATGGTAGCATGTGTATCACCCATTAAAGCATCTATCAAATGTGTTTCAAGCAGCCATTTTGTTTTGGCTTATTAAATGTTTTTAATACAGAAAAACATTTTTCCTCCTGGGTAGAACCTAGCGACTTTTCATGCCTGGATAATTCAAAACCAGCTGAATAGAACAGAACATCTTGCTTCTTTGTGCTTGCTGCAATTTTTTTTAACCCTTCTCTTTGTTTGTTGTTCTTTACCTTGTCTAACCTTATTCTTAAATCATAAGATTCTGGGTAAGGACAATCTCTTTGTTCTGTGTCTGTTTAACACTAAGTAGACATGGATTATGCAAACAGTAATACTGATGTTTTCAGATATATCTCCTGCTTAAGAACAAACTTGAAAATGCAAACCTACAAAATTATGGGGTGATTTTTATTTTTAAGATAGACTGCTGAAAAGGCAGATGTGGAATCTAAATCTTCTGCATTAGTGCTAAGGGCTTCTTTTGATTCCAGTTGTTTAAAAAAAAAGGCATCTAAATCTCTGAGCCTGATGACAGCATGGAAAGTATCGAATGCAGATGAGTTGCCTGTCTACTCTAACAAAATCTCAATAAAATCAATTTGTTCAGGTGCTTGCGTTCTGTTCAGCATGCAGTTCAGACTGGAAATATTTTTGACATTTCATTAAGAATTAAACTCAGTAGAGCAGCAAAAAGTTACACTGTTGTTTCAGCTCTAACCCTTCATTAGGTTTAGTAGATTAGTTTTCACTTGTCTCTTGCTGTTTTAATCATCTAAAGTTGTATTTGTGTTAACTAACCTACAACAATTAAAGAAAAATAGTTGCTTACTATAGGAGGGAGGTGGAAACTTGTGGCAGGAGTTTTTATCTGGCAAGGGAGTAGCAGAAATACCTCCTGTAAGGTTGCTACCCTTCCTCTGCCCTTGCTGTCTGTTCATAAAAGGCTGTTGTCTTTTTAAAACAGTTTTAAAACAAAATGGGGCCCAGGACCTGGAGAAGAATGGTGCTGAAAAAGACCACGATGAAATCGCCAAAGCTGACCCAGAAATGACACCATTTGAGATATTTCTGAAGGACAAAAGGTACGTGAGTTTGTGAGGAGGGTACCTGCAGCTGTATCACTAAATGTGATACTTTTGTCCTCTATATTTGATTGGATGTGGTCAGTAGCTAGATGGGAGACTTCATAAAACATGAAGGTGTTGAAGACAGTACTTCTGGACATTGAATGGAGAGTGTTGGATGAGTGTTGTAGCTTGTTGTCAGGCAACAGTGTATGGCTGAAAGCGCTGTCTTTTGCCTGACCTAAAGCCAGGGATTTTCTGATCATTTATCCAGCAGACATACTGTGGTCATAACTGTGTTCCAGCTGAAAGACGGTTCACGAAAGTTGTCTGGGGATCATTTTGGTCTTCCGCATTTAACTTGGGTCATCTTGAGATGCTAGATTTTATTTAAACTATGGAGAGCCTCCACTTTCTGACACAGTATGGGCAGCTGCAGAGCAATTCTGCAATTTCTGGATACTTCAAAAAAAAAGAAAAAACCAACCAACCAAAAAAAACTAAGCCCCCCCCCAAAAACCCCACAAACTTTGGCCGTTGTTACCACCTGTCCTTCCTTCTCTTTTCCACAGCTACCGCTAAGCTGCCTGAGTAGACAACTGTGTTGCTTTGCTCAATTCTCTCCACTGTGTGAGAATGGTGCATCTCATAGTAGAGGAGCATACTGTTTTGTGAAAAGTGGAATCAGTAAATCCTTGTTTGTGATAGCTTCCTCCATAGACTGGTGATAGCTAGTGAGGCCTGTCTTGCGCTGCAGCTTTTCTGGCAGGGAAGGCACAGGTAAGGCTTCTCTCTGCTGTTAGCTGCAATGTAGTCAAAGTTATCCTCTGACTTAGATGTGTGGCCTTTTGCCTCTGTAGTGAGTTCTGTCATGATATTTGAAGTCCCTCATGCCAGTAGTGCTGGTCTTAGATGTCAACGCATCTTACAGCAGCTGGGTTCAGGCCCTCAGAACTTAAAGGCTCAGGTCCGTGCAAAAGGCCACCTAGTAACTGGATACTCTTTATTGCTTGAATGGGTCTTCTTACCTTTGATGTAATCCAACATTGCTTCCTCCTTAGATACCAAGATGATTTTGGTCCTTTGCTGGAAGGATGCACCTGTTACTGTTGTCAGAGGCATACTCGCGCCTACGTCCATCACCTCCTTGTGACTAATGAGCTGTTGGCCGGTGTGTTGCTCATGATGCACAACTTCCAGCACTACTTCAGTTTCTTCAGTGCCATACGGGATGCCTTAAGAGACGATAAACTGGATCAGCTGAAAAACCTTGTCTTCAGGCAGGCACTTCAAGGCCCAGGAAATGCGAAGCCAGGCCAGTGAGGTCAGAGAGGATAGAGGAGGTTGCAGGCTACATCCTTATCTGGTAGGACTGTGTAAGGTGGACTGCCAGCAGGGTCACCTGGACCTGTTAGTAAAATGCCTTCCTTCTTGGAGGAAATTGAAGGAGACATTTGAAGAAGATCTCACTTCCTGGCAGGGAAAGAAGATCGTATTCAAACATCCCTTTTGGTTAATTGGCTTGGTGCATTCCTGGTGTATGGAAGAGCCTCAACAGCTCAGAAGACCAGCATGGGTAGCTTTGTTTTCAGTTACTGTTAGTTTTCTGTGTGGAAGGACAGAATTACTGAATTTGTGATTGAAAAATAAGCAGGGCATGTACTTAAAATTAATCTAGCTGCCTGGACGCTCAGCAGCTCTTTGGGACTCTCATTCCATATCGAATGGATATTACAGTTAATTAGTGGTGTGGTTGTCCCATCATGCAGCTCCTTGATGAGAGATCCTGCCTCAATCTAACACAGTGTTCCATGTGGCCTTTGCCAGCATCTTTGTCCCTGAGAAGAACTGACTGGAAGTGCTGCGGTGTTCAGTGGCACAAGGGACTGGATGTCTACTTTTCTCTCAGGCCACCTGCAGTGCAGCATGTTCTCTGGGATGGGACGAGGCCCTCCACCTTGGCCTGGCCTTGAAAACCCTGGTCTCTGTGACATTAGAGCCAGAAAGAAGAGAAAGTGTTTAATCCATGTCCTGCTATAGAGGGGGTTTTGTTTTTTTCTTTTTTTGACTCTGTACCCTTTCACCTGTGTGGACTAAGATTTCCGTTCCGCACTAGCATGTGGATGATAACGAATGTACCGTTCTTTCCAACTGTCCTAGCGCTGGGCAAATACGCCACAAAATGTCAGTGTGACATGGAGCTGTGAAAGAGATGTATTGCAGGAAAAGGCATTTAGAAAAGATTCTTGTGGCTCTGTGTTTTAAAATATGATTTAGTTATGTCACATTCCTCTTATTCAGTATTTTTTTATGGCCCTTACTTTGGAATCCTGGATTTACTCATTTTATGTTACAAAGCAACAATAAAAAAACTATTATTAATTACTCTGGCTCCTCAATGTGTGACAGAGGTGGTGTACCAGAGAGCTTGAGTGCAGTGCTCAAGAAGATGTCTTGTGGAAGTTCGACCTAGCAGCCTGATTGAGATCAGTGACTCAACTAGGAGTAGGTTCCTGTCTCGGAGCAGGGGTCCAAATAATTAATAGACCTAGAAGTGTTAAAGATGCCCACCTGTCCTCCCCATAAGATCTCTACTACCTAAATTAAGCTTAAGAAAATACTACAGTGAAAGTTGCTGGCCTTAAAGCAATTAAGGATTAATCTGCAGTTTGCTGTTTTTCCCCATTTCTTTAATATTTTAAGATTTTAATATCTCACATCAGAATGACTTTACTGTAGAGTATAAGAAGTTTATAACTTCCCTGTCAGCATTGCCTGTGCATCTTGTTTAACCTGGCAGTCGGCTAGAACAACCACACAGCCGTTCACTCACTCCCCTCACACACCCCCCACACACACCCCGCCCCATGGGGGGAAAGGTGAAATTCGTGGGTTGAGATAAAGACAGTTTAATAGGACAAAAAAGGAAGAGAATTATAATAATGATAAAAGAATGTACAAAGCAAGTGATGCACAGCACAACTGCTCACTACCTGCAGACCACTGATGCCCAGCTAGTGCCCAAGCTGCAGTCTAAACCCCTGGGCATCTTCCCCCCAGTTATATATGGAGCAGGATGTCATATGGTATGGAATATCCCTTTGGCCAGTTTGGGTCAGCTGTCCTGGCTGTGTCCGCTCCCAGCTTCTTGTTGCGCCCCCAGCCTCCCCACTGGCAGGGGAATATGAGAAGCTGAAAAGTCCTTGATTTGGTGTAAACATTGTCCAGCAACAAGGAAAACATCAGTGTGTTACCGACATCTAATTCTCATCCTAAATCCAAAAAACAGCGCTGTACCTGCTGCGAGGAAGAAAATGAACTCTGTCCCAGCTTAAACCAGGACAGCATCTCTGTCTCCTTGGGCAGGTCCACAATGGTGTCAGAGTCCTTTCTACCATTCCAGCCTTATACACCACGTTGCACTAACTACATTTCTGTGCTACAAGATCCTAAATAAATGGTGTGAAGACTGCTTTACTGTTGTCTTTAAACAGAGATCATGGGGAATAATTTAGCCACGGAAGCTACATAAAATACAGGACTATCGTCCTCACTCCAAGAAGTACCTTATGATTGTTAATGTTGATGCAGCACTGGGAAGCTTGGAGTTGGTGTCCTGGATATAGAGTGTGAGGTAGAAGGTCTGCCTGTCTTAAAGGTCAGGGAATTGTAATGAAACAAAAATGTTTTATACGTCTTTCCGGAGGAATGCAGGATACGATGGTAGTGTTGGGACCTTGCAGTGCTGCTTTCTGCAGCGTCTGTTTCTACAAGTGCTGTGAGTGTTAGTGCAAAACCTTATGGGAGGGGACAGTGACTAGTTTAAAACTTCTCATTCAGCAACACTTTCATGTCCACATACAATCACCAAAATGCCTGACTCAGCCTGGCACTCGGGCACCGAGATGCTTGTGTCCAAGAGGTCTGTCAGGGATGCTCTGTGGAGACACGGAGGATATGGGATCCTAGCAACGGTGTCCTCCTTGTGTTGCCTGCATTCTTAGGTTGGTAGTGTTACTGCTGGTTTTGGAAGTGCCATTTTGTACCCTTTGGGAGCCGGCTGTGATCAGTCTCCCCATCCTGCTCCGCCTCTGTGAATCATTAGGATTTATTCATTTCTTTTTGTCTCCCAACCTGGGTGTCCTGAGAAGCTGCACGTTGCTGTGCTGGGATCTTAGTGACCTGCTAAGCTAAGTGCCTATAACGTGCCGTTCTCAGCAACCCTTCTGTTCTTCCTTCTGGCTTTCCAGTCTTTCCATGCTGCTGTATTCCTGTTGGTTCTCCAGTCACACCGATCAGGTTTTCCTGTTACGGTTCTCCGCTTAGCTTGTGTGTGTGTGTGTGTGCGCGCACATGTGTATCAGAGCTGCACAAAGTGAACAATGTCCTATGGCTCAAAATTTGAACAGCTACATCTAGTCATTATCTAACAAACACAGTAACGAGCTGCACTAACCCTGAAGCAACCCTAATGTGTTGTATTTACACGAGTCTTCAATCTGTCAGTCTTCCTAGTTCACATTGTAAAAATTAAGCAGTATTTTTCATGCTTACTTAGAAAGTTTTTTCTTTTATTTCCAAGCAGAGATCTAATTTCTTTCAAAAACAGAATTCTTGCCCTAATATGGGGAAAAAAAGTACATGAAGAAAACTAAACTTTTCATGGAGAAGTGAAAACTGAAATGAGTAAGGAGTGGAAAAATTTCTGTGCTAAATTAGCTTTACTTAGCACCGAGGACTGCAAAAACACCCTTGACTGCCATCCATCCCCAGATGGCAGAATGCAAAAGTGCAGAGCAGAATACAAAAGAGATGGTGTGTTACAAAACATTAGACCCTTGAATGTCTTTCCCTTAGCAACTTTTAGTGTAACCTTCCCCTTGATAAAGAAACATCTTTCATGCTCTTCTGTTTCTAATGAGAATAACTGGCAGGGCCACATGTTAAACGCTAAGTAAGTCCTGCGCCTTTCTGGCCGCTTCATCAGTATTCTGCTCAGTAACCTCCTCCCTTCAGAGCTATTTTAATATTGCAGACTCTTTAGCAGTTTCAAAGGTATGCTTTAAAGTGTGTTAAGAGGAAATTAAATCAAATTGGTTTATCACAAAAATGTTTTCTCCTTTCCTTCAGGTATGTAATTTCTTCCCCCACACATTCACCCGCCCCATCCATCCTCTGAATTACAAGGACACGGTGTCCATGAGAGGTTGCATCAAGCCTGGTCTGACAGTTTCTAGGGCTGCTCTTCTGTGCCTCTGCAGAACTGTAGGAGCTGCCCAAGACTGGAAGTGTTCCAGCAAGGTGTTCAATTTATTTCTACATCTCTTAGGTCCAGAGGGCTTTCAGATCACGGAGGGTTTATGCATAGAAAAATCAGTTCCAGGTATGTTTCAGAGGTGCTTTTAAGCATCGGGTAGCTATTTTTTTTCTTCCTGAACCCTGTTGATTTTTGATTTATAACCTGAGTTGGCAGGAAAAGGGCCCCAATAAAATGTGTAAACCTTCCTCTCGGTGATTTCAGAGAGGTTTCCTCTGTGATACGGAAGGCATGCACAAAACAGATGATAGTGCAGGCTGGTTTAATGGCCTTATTTGTAGTACTCTGGGCTGATCTACATCATTCACTAGGGACCTCATCTCTTTTCTGGTAATGCAGCACTCACTTCTTCAGACTATTAAAGATGTTCAAGCACATGTTACCATCCTTCCTTAAGCACATTCTGTAGGCATGATAGGACTTTTCAAACAAAAAAGAGAATGAAGTTAAATCCCTTTGAGAAGTCGGGTCTAGACTGACAAAGCTGGTGTTTCCCTGTTGATGTTGCCAGTGTGAATGGTGTCTGTCAGAACGCACAGCCTCCTCCCTGGTAGCATATTGGCCAGGAAAGGCAATACCTTCCCTGCCTCACGGTGAGGTGATGATGAACTGCCTGGTTACTTCTACATCTGTCGTCTGTAGGATTTAATTAGACTGGTCAGGTGAAGGTGCCACACAGTGGGATGCTCTGTCACGCTTCTGACGTATCTTCTCCAGCTCCTGGCCTTGCTCACTCCCCATCGTTTCAAAAACTTCAGAGAAAGCCTGCTCTGTTTGGCAGCTCTTTGCGTGTCTGAACATCTTGCAGAGCTCTTTGGGAAGCAGGTTTGGATGAGAAGGGGTTATCTGGCTAACCAGGGTTGTTTCAAACTTCAGCCTGAAAATTTAAGAAGCTATGTAGTTGGGACATGAAGAAATGATAACTAGAGGCATCTGGATCTGCCAGAGAGCTCAGAATTAGTCAGCTTCCTGTCTTCCCTGTCCCCCTGGTACTGTGTAAAGCATT